TTGGAGTTTGTAATGAAGCGAAGGCTGGATATCTTTGTCTTCCAGAATATACCCACTTAGGGTTTCCATCTCAGAAACATCCATCTCTTTCTCTTCTAGAATACCCAACTGCTTTCGTTGTGGGAGGAAGGAAGGAATTGAGGAAGAGGTTTTATTGGGCACGTGTTATTCAGGTGGAACGTGACTTTAATCTCTGGAAAGTTACGATTTGTCAGCAAGTCCATTTTACTGTTTGTAGCTCTTCACTTCACACTACACAAATTATTTCCCAAATTTTCAGCAACTTACTGTAATATATTATCAAATTAAATTCAAATTAGAAATAAATAGTAGTAAATCAATTAACACCTTACCTCAATCAATCATAATATTTCAAGTAAGGTTGAAGAAGGTTCTTTGCGTTGGGATGATCCCACTCCACTGATTCCCACCATCCTTCTGACTCTGTATGAATCTTGATTGCTGTGAGATGAGGAGGAGGAGATGGTTGGCCATTATCAAGCAAGGGAAGCTGAAAAGGGTTCCTCTTTAACTCTGGACAATCGCAGATATCAATTTCTTCAATAGAATCATAAATCTTAACTCCTTTGGCACTGCAGATGCTCTTCAATTTCTGTAAGCCAACCAACTCCAACATCCTTAACTTAGGAAAAGTGAAAGTGAATTTATCAGATGATGCATCTGAATCTGATGATGCTATTATCTCCTCCATTTCTGCGCAATTCCAAACTCTAATCTCCTCTAAGTTTTGAAGGGCCTGCAGTAGCTCAAGTGGAAGCAACTCCCTCATTTTTCTGCAATCATCTATATAAAGCACTTTAAGATTGGAGAAGATGCACGGTGGTGTTGCTACTCCTTCCACTTTCACAAGCACACACAACTTGGGAAAATGATAAATATGCAGCCATTCAAGCTTATCGAGTACTGGACAACATAATGAGGAGGCAGAGGATGAGTCCAACTCAACCACGCACTCTATCCCTTCACAGCGTCTCATGCCACATCTTCTCAACTCGGTTGCATTTTCTAACAAAACTATTTTGTTTAAGCTCCTGCTTGTCATGTTTTGCATGTATTCAATCCACAAATCCTCAAGGTTATCTGGAAGCACCATAGATTCTCCACCTATCTTCAGCTGTTTAATTTCGAGCCAACGTTTAATTTGAAGACAACTTCGATACTCACTCCATTCGTATGAAAATATTTCATCTGTAATGCGTTGCATTTCATTCCTAAGCCCATAACCCACAACAAGCCCATAAGCTGTAAGACTTTGGAAATTTTTGAACTCACTCACAAAAGAATTCAACTCATGTAGACCATCAAGTCGACATTCTAAAATCTCTAACTTTTTCAATCTCGCAACCTCTTCTAAATCTATCTTTATACTAGTTTCTCCCAAATAACATACTGCCAAGTACTGTAGACTAGAAAGTTTAGGCAATATTCCTGTTGGAATGTCTTTCAAATCTCTACAAAATAAATTAAGATATTCAAGACTTTCCAATATCTCCATGCCTTGAGGGACCACCTCTATTCCTGCACCTCGCAGATCCAACTTCTTCAGTGCTCTAAGCTTCCCTAAGAAAGGCAGGCACTTTAACCTCTGGCACCCCCTCAACCGCAACACAGAGAGATTCTCCAAGTCACAGATGGAATCAGGTAAAGTCTCAATATCAGTTCGAGAAAGATCAAGAACCTTGAGTGTGCCCATATCTTCAAAAAAGGATTTTGGAATCTCCGATATATGATTATCCGATAATATCAAAGTTGAAAGACTCGGACACTTCAATGACAAACCAGCAGGAAGTTCTGAAATGTGAATTGCCATTAGAGACAACTTCCTGAAATCTTCGGCCCACCCTCGCTCATTCGCTACCCCTCTCAATTCTTTTACCATATATCCAAATTCAGGACCGATGATTTTGATAGCCATGTCTCTCACTACATCATGCATCTTCCAAACATCATAAGATTTTTAGTGTACAGTTTTCTCAATCAAACAATTCTTTACAAGCTTGTCTAATAAGGCATGGCCTCTATCATATGCTTTTTGTCTACTTCCCAACTCATCAATATCGATTAATCCATCATCAATCCAACCTTCTATCAACTCCGTTCTAAAAAACTCATAATCTTCTCGAAATAAGGAGCAATACAGAAAACATTTTTTGATATCCAACCTATCCAAACGATCAAAACTAAATCTTAACCGTTGAAATATCTGATCATCCCAATCATTCACACCCTTTACACGTTCTCGTAATTCAGTTAGTGCATTTCTCCACACATTAACATCATCTACTCCCCTCATGCTTGCTGCTATCACAACAATGGCGAGTGGTAAACCGGCACACTCTTCCACAATGAGCTTCAAAATGTCTTCTAACCCTGTAACTTGCGAAATATCATCCCCAACAGTATCTAGGAATAACTTTAGAGACTTCTCTTTTGAAAGAGGTTTCACTTTAACAATCTTACATTGCAAATAACTGCATACTTCGATTGATCTACTAGTGACAACTACTTTGCACCCATTCTGCGCCTTCGGATCTGGAATTCCAACATCCTTAAGAGAGAACTTGTCCCATACATCATCTAATATTAGCACAAATTTCCTTCTTCCCATTATATCCATTAGTTCTGCCGCTCTCATCTTCTCTTCCTTATCTTCCGAAAGTGTTTCCTCCATTCCACCAGCAATCTTCTTTTGTAATTCAAAAACATTGAGAGGATGTGATACAGTAACCCAGAGAAACTTTTGAAACTTGGTCTGCTTCCTCAAATCATTGTAAACATTCTCCATGATCGTAGTCTTTCCAACTCCACCAATCCCACATACTCCAATCATTCCGAACTCGTCACCCGTCAAGTACCCCCAAATTTCTTCTTTAGTAGAAATTTCCCCCACTAAATTCTCTGTTGGAATTATGACTTCACGAGCTGGAGCTCCCCCAATCACAAGGCCTTCAGGAAAACTACCTTCAGGAAAACTACCTTTTTCAAGCATTCCCTTCACCACATTAATTTTTCTACAAACAAGTTTGCCAAGATAGGCACGCTTGTACCACCTGACTCTCTGCACCTTTTCTAAAACTGCTTGCACATCAACATTTATGTCTTGTGCATGCTTAAGCCAGTCTTGCACTTCTTGTCTTACCATTTGTACCCCACGAGCTTCTACTACTTGTATTCCTGATTCTATATCTTGTTTCCGGCTAGTTAGACTGTGCAATTTTCTTCTGAGCTCACTTACATCATCATTAAAACTTCTATATTGATCTATACAATTGCAGGTTGGAGTACTGCAAATGCAACTCAATGCACTGACGATTACCCCTGCAATGTCTGCCATTAAAAAGAACCTGAAACATAATAAATAATATGAATAAAAATGTACTTATAGTGTTCCATCAACAGAAAAATTTGAAGCATAAATAAACAACAAAAGTTAATTTTAAATTACCAATTCCAACCATACGTAGAGGTATGAAACCTAACAATATATAGGAGGTATAAAACCCTACATTTACCAAAGGAAATGGGGAGAAAAAAAAAACAACTAGCATATATAAATGAATATGCTAATTGAAAAACTATTTTTATTCCTTTCCCCTCCATGTTTAGCTGCAGATATTCATCCAACAATGAGAGTAATGCAAACCGTTCATTTTTTTAGAAAACACCAAATTTGGTTATACGACATAGCTATTTTTTTTGACCAATTCCACTTCTCTTGCAGTGTTTTTCTATTGGCAAATTGTTTTTATTGGTCAATTCCGTAAAAATAGATAAAGGAATATTTGTTTGAAGTGGTTTGGTGCAATTCTTCTATAAAATGAACTCTAATTAACTGTATTTGTTAGTCTTAAATTATTAAATAAAAAATTTTATTAAATATTTTTCATATTATTAAAAATAAATAAATTTATTAAATATCTATTCCATATCAATTTTTCAACTGTTATATTAAATAATCTAATATAAAAATGTGTACTACAAAGAGGCTGATACTCCAATGATTCGTATCTAATGGCACACTATTGGATCTACTTTTTCATTTTACAATACTACAAGGAAAATTTAAGAAAATCGAAATTGAAAATCTAGATATTATACCTGCAAGTTTAACAAATTCAGCTAAAGAAATTGATGGTGATGACTAAATTAAACCAAGCAAATTATAAGTAGCAACAGATCTGCTTGTAATTGTAAGCTCAGCTCTATGGGGTCGTAGCCGTGGTCCTGAAGGTGCAAGATTCAAATGTGAACACTTAGAGTTACTTGTATGTTTAC